AGTTACTTAATTTCGAAGATAGGATTGACCAATTGTATGTAAACGTTTACGAACTCTTACAAGTGTGTAACCTTACATTATTAGCAACAATTACCGAATGAGTTTCTTAGCAAACAAAAATCATAATAAAACAAATAATCCTAAATATGCGAAAGTAACATTGTGTGTCACACTTAAACCAATGAAAAAAATTCTTGTAGTAATTTTAAATAATCCGTTTTATCCAAATCATTAACGGGCCGACCGCCGACGTGCAAGTTATTATTTAATTTTATTGGTCCTTTTGAAGTTTAATTTCCTTTTGATCCGATCGAGATACGTAGCTATACCAAAGCGTTTAGTTAACATGGAACGTTTTTTGTAAACAAGTCTACGTTAAACATTTTTTATTGAAAATTAAAGGACGCGTAGCACGTAATATGTGTGTCTGCCGAGATCGCACGCGCATCGAAAATAGTTTGCGTGAAACGTGATCCGCGGCATGCGCCTGAATCGCGGCGGGAGCACAGCGCTGCGCCCGCGGGTTCGCCCGCGATATTTATTTTTGAAATTTAGTTGTAGAAAATGAAAGAAAAGAATTGCCGACGAATTTGACCGGGTAGCGTTTGCGGATGTATGTATATTATAAATATTAGTTAGTAAAAGTCTTGTCACTTTTTCTGTACCTAAAAAGTTTATTTTTCAGCATCATGAAAAGAAGACAAAACAGCCGTTTAGTTAAAACGAATAGGTACTAAGGTAGATTGCTTGATATCTATTTCCAAGTAGTATTGCGAGGATTTATTCTAGAAATTTTAATGAGTCTACGGACGCAGAAACTTCTTATACAGGGTGTTAGGTAAATGGGTATATGAGCCGACACTAGCCCATGTTAACATGGTCATATAAATGGTATGGGGAAGTCAGAAAATTGATATCTTCATTTTTATTATTTTAATTTTCATACAAAATAAATTTTATAAAATAATTAAAATGCAGATATCAATTTTCTGACTTCACCATACCATTTAAATGACCATGTTAACATGGGCTAGTGTCGGCTCATATACCCATTTACCTAACACCCTGTATAAAAGTAAAAATCTGTCCCATAAGCTTCTCGATCAAATTTTTCTATATTATTTGTAGAGACAAACTGACATCAGACATTTACGAAAAACATTATTTGGCGAACTCTACATTGTTATTGACTGTCTACGAAAATAAAATTGGTTTGTTTGGCTAACTGTTTCCAAGTGCATAATAACAATGCAAACTTACGATTACAAGTAGGTATTGTTAGTTGTTACCGTATTCAAAATAATCATAAAATATTGTATTGCAAAATCTTCTTAGTATGACGTCTTGTCTTCTTCTTATTTATTATCAGGCCTTTCAATCGTGAGGATAAACCTCATTATTGTTTTTAATTATCTAGTAATTCCTAAAAATATACTAATACAATTTTCTAATATTACATTGGGCTAATAGATAAATGTTGTGATACTTGAATTTGTAAAATCTAATCATAGTATGGAAATTTATCTAAGGGTAGAGCAAGTTTTACCGTCATCTATACTTATAATAAATCTGTAGAGAGGTCAATTCTGTACATGAAATATATTTTCAAAATATCTATCAGGGGGTGATTAGTGATCGATACTGATGCCAAAAATGCAATCAGTAAAATTTTTGTCTGTCTGTCTGTCTGTCTGTCTGTCTGTATGTTCCTTATAGAAACAAAAAATCTAAGCCGCGTAAGACAGATGAAGGGGGTTAAACGGGATCCACGCGTACGAAGTCGCGGGCGGCCGCTAGGTTGGTAATATTATCGCAAGTTGTCCTAAGTATTGAATAAATATTGAAATATTACGAGTAATTCGCAATGCTTTGTAGAGTCGTGCAGAGAACTGAACAGCTGCATTTGAATGAAAGATTACCCAGTTTTAGATTGCCGAACTCCCATAATCTAGTTCAATGTTCACAAATAGATGATGGCGTGTGCTACAAGTGACGAACTAATAGCGGATACCATTTTAAACTACATTAAATATAGTATTTTATCGTACATTTTAATACGATTGAGCTGCTGAAACTAGGTCTTCTTCTTCTTCTTTTCCCTAGCCCTTTTTCCTATTATTTGGGGTCGGCTCTCTTTGTCCTGAGGCGTGAGGACCGTCTGTCCTGGACTGGGCTGCTGAGGTATCCTGTTTAAATTATAGCCGCATAATATTTTAGTGTCTTCAAATGAGGGGTACCTCAAATATCCCGACAACTACTAAATCTTAACATGTTACGTTTCATCAACTTTGCTAATTTTCCGTCTCATTGAATTACACATGCACTAAAGAGAACGAAAGAGGAGAAAAGAGAAGAACGTAACATACCATCAAGCGTTCATAGCCCATCATCATTTCAGGCAGCGATATGCTTGTATTCTATGTTTGTACCACTCGGATGGAAGTAGGTCTGTCACGGTCCGCTGCCGGTTGAAGGTTGCTCCGGCGGGTCACGTCGGGCGATGCGATGTCTCGAAAATACCTCTTGGGACAGGAGTGACAAGATAAAGAAAATAGGCCACGTGAAAAATATTCGGAAAAAAGAACCATTTATTATTCAAAATCATAAATCTTGATGAGTTAGGTCTAGAAGACTCGATCCGAAAATATTCTAGTGACACTTAGCCATTAGGTATACGTATTTTCAATATTGCTTGTTTTCTCTGTGTATTATCTTGACCTGGATTATGTGTAATCATAAGAATATTACTGATACCACTTCCAAGCCAATCAAACTCTAAGCAAAATGATAAGTTATCAATGAAAATCTATTGCTTCTGATATTTTCCACCAAAAAAGATGAACCAACGATATGCTCAAACTAGCTAGCAGTAGTAGAGTATCCTAAAATTGGGCTCAATGACTTGAATTGAGAAAGAAGAAGATCGGCATAGGAGGCAGATGGTGATGAACTGTTGAATAATGCACCTCCTCAGTACAAAATCAATAATTGTCTCTGATTCAAATCTACAAGCTAGTAAGTGAGGAACACAAATCACTACATCAGACAATCTAACGATAGTCTTTAGCAAGAGCATGACGTGCTGCCACCTAATTCACATTTGATACATGGTCTGCATTGTTTTGGCGGTGCAGCAGTGCTTCATTTGTATCAGCACATACTGCATTATGAAACGGTGAGTCACGCGCTATTCCGGCGCGGTAACGATCTCGGAGTGACGCCTGCAGCCGGGTTACGAGCAGTAAATATCGGATTCAGTTTAGCGTCATGACCTTGATGCTCCTTCATTAAACTAAATACTTCGTGGGAGGTCGAATTGAAAGAGTAGGAGTTGGGTTGGATTATGGATGGGCTAGCTTTTGAATATGATCCAGGAGATATCAATATTCAGGACTCTCATACCTTTTTGAAATGGGTTTAATACTTAAAAAGGAGGAAAGAAAACTTTGTGAAAGATGATTTTGTCCTTCGGAGGGTGGGCTAGCTGGCTGGCCGATTAGAGCAGAAGCTCTTTAAAAAGCTTTTTTGATGGTGTGTGTAAACTACACCATATACTTACTGTACTGTTGCATAAAATGTAGAGTTTTACAATAGGTGCTATGAAAAATAGCCAATCAATCAGAACACTGTATAAATTGTACGGTGTAGTTTTCAATGAAAACATGAAACTGTGATATTTGAAGCAATACGTGTCTATGTCACGTGATCTCTGAAAATAGCTCAAACCTAACGGCCACAACAGTCGGAGTGTCTGCTGCAGAGGCGGCGGAAAATTACATGATTACGTTAGAAATTTACGGGAGCTGGTTCCCTTGTATTTATTCTTTTTGTCTATCGTGTGGGCTGTGTTGATAACGTCAATGTGTATTATTTCTGTTGGCAACCCCTAAAGTTACTAGATTATTGGTACAACAATAACAACAGTCGTTATGTAGCTTCAAGTTGTGCTTGCACATAGTACAAGGTCTACTTGCTAACTACAGCAATAAGACAACATATTATGTAGATTCTTTAATAGTTACATTAATGGATATAGGTACAACATGCGGTATTTGAACCCGCAGCTGGCACGCGAACCACACCGAGTTAAATATTAACAACTTTTCGGTAGTTGGCTGAAAATTTTGCGCACAGCACGTTCTCTTCACGAAGAAAAAATGCGATTTGATATTACCTCAATCATAATTTCACAAACTCGACGGAAAATTCTTGATCTAAAACTGGCTTAAGCCGTTAATTTCGAAATAACAGCCTAGTGTCAGAATTAGAAATTAGTGCTGAAAACCAGTAACTAATTGACCCGTGTTGTGAAATGTTTCGGAAACAAAGTTTCCGGCGCATAGACAAATAGACAACTCATTTGGAATCGATTTGGCGCAGCGGCGATGCTTGGTGAATTCATGATTCGGGCTTCAGGAACTTTCCCAATTCTATATTACTGTACCTTCCTGTACATACTACCCTCTTATTAATAACCAACCATAGTTGGTAATTGGTATGTACTGGGTGATTTGTGAAATTGTGATCAAATAACCAAAAAGTAAAAGTATCAGGCAAATAGTAGAGATAATTCATGACATCATTAGGTACATACGAGTACATATTACTAGATGTCAATTAATCAAATCGAAACTGTGTATTTTGTGTTTATTAATGGACACACATGAACTGTGTCTCAGCGCAAATAAAAGTTGCTTTAATGACATTCTCGCTCTACATTTTACTTTTTTATGCTTGTACGATTTGTTTTTTCAAAGACTTGCCTTGGATTTTATTTATTGTAAGCCCCATTTTGATATTTCAATGTGATTACAAATAACTGACACTAAATTTCACTCGCGAAATGCGTTTAGTGCGATTTGCCATGATGTATCCTATACTAGGATTGTGAAGACTTCTTTCAGATACGCTTTCTTTAGATTCGTGACATATCTTAGGTATTCCTGTATCACTCGTAATTAAAAAATTTAAGACGGATAAATCTTCGAATGAATGAATGCTTTTTCAGCTTTCTTTTTCATTTTTTGAGAAAATACTTGTCGCGTACGCCTCATTAACCACTGAACTTGACAAAACAACAATATCTGTGAAGCACCTTGACCGTGGCTTGCGCCCAGACTGTGTTGCCCAATCGTAGACCTTCACGAATCGAGTTAAGGTCTAAAGTGCAGAAGTGCTTGTCCCCGCGGTTCCATTGGGCAATGGTGTAGGACCGGCGCGGGCGCAGCTGACGGCACAGCCAGGACCACCGCTGAAATGGACGTACGCCTTCTCCTGCTGTTCAGCCTCCTCACTGGCGCTGGTAAGTACTTTTTCATATATGGCTAATGAACTAACAGCAATCGATATATCAATTTTTTTTCGTTAAAATATTTCTTAACCTGTTAGCATTTATTGAAATTTTTTTGACTGGAGTAGTTTGTTGCATGACGTAATAAATTAGGTATTTTTATGTTTTTTTTGATCAAATATCTAATGAGATTAGAATAAGTAAAGCCTCGATTTACCATAGCTAAATATAAGCGATTCCTGAAGTTATACAAAAGACTTAAGTTTATAGGTATCCTGACATCCCTTTGAAGATGCAAGGAAGTGAAATTCCATTCCAGCGTCAGTTTTCCCTTAACGTTTATTCTTTCTATGTAACCTGTGAATGAATGAACCTCCGATATTTCAGCGCATAAAGTTTCAGTGAGTGTTGCGTGTCGAGTAAAAGTTTGAGTGAGATTTAATAGAACAGTGTTACCAGTGTTGAAAGCAAAGACGTACAAAGAGGGTTAACCGATTGGCCTATATGTCCGCCAACGAATATGCAAACTTTTATATCCTTGTTTAAAGCTCATAGGTATAAGTGTGCTGAAATATTGGAGACTCGTCCTCAAAAGGCCTACCTACTGCCTTACATGACATAGAAGACTGTTACTATAACTTTTTTATCATCTTCACCTATCGTAAGATGAGATTTATGTAAATTAGGCATATTCAATTTGTCACAATACAGAAATGATGCACTTGAATAAACCTTACACTGAAATATTATTATTCGATACTCAGCAGGTTCAATTTTAATTATTGGCTAATATAACTAATCAGTGGAACATTGAAAATTATTCGGCATTGAATTCAGTGCCAATTTTTTGCCATAATCAATTTCTAGATTGGCGTTTACTTTTGTTTTGTTATGCTGTTGATTGTTGTTTTATTTATTATATTCCGTTCCGTAAGATAATATTAATTGTTCAGAATTTCAGGGCATACTGACTACTGAGTACCGTAAATAATGAGGTGAAGAATCCATTCTGCAGTTTGCTTATTAGTGTCTCAAGATTAGCCTAATACATGCTTTGCAATACATGTTAAAGCTTATCATTATCACCCAAATGCAGTACTTATTTGCCTGAAAATTATTGATTGGACTGTTTAATGTCTTAAAATGATGAGGAATGAATCATATGCATCTTAGTAACCTAACTTTCAAAAATCCTAACCTATATCTTTATTACCAAAACAATCTCATTTTAGACTTCCAAGAGGCAGTGGAGGCGGAATGTTGCTCCAACGATGTCGATGGCACGCAGCAGGATACCGCAGACCAGACTACAGAGGTGGCAGAGTTCCAAGACCTGCTGGAGCTAGAAGCAGCATGCCCCGAGCTGAGCGGTCAGATCATCGGCGGCAGGCCTAGCTCGGTCACCAGACACCCATACCAGGTGTCCATGGTGCTCAATGGGAACTCTTTCTGTGGAGGGTTCATCATCAGCCCGAGCTATGTCCTGACTGCGGCGCACTGTGTTCAGAAGTAAGTCTTTTGGTGTATGTGAAACTGTGCATGAGAAATTGATATTTTGTTCGTTAAACATAAGACTCCAGATTTGCTATAATTTGGTATTATTAACTTTTTATCATTTGGCGCCATAATGAAAATGAAAACATTTATTTTTTTCAAAACAAAATCTAGCTTTGTGTTTCATGAACATTGAACAAAGTTAATTTAATTTTCTTAAATAATTGAATATGAAAATATGAACTAAAACTTTTTGATCGTCATAGCAGATCTGAAGGTCACCTACCTATGATTAAGTACTTTATTTCATAGCTAAGTATCAAATAGATCAAGAATACTTTATCCTGGATCGATCTGAACTTATTCGGCCAAACGGCTCTATTTTTGTGCGTTTAGGCCTTAACTTAGGGCTCTAAATTTTACAAGGTGCCGAATAAAACTTGCGCCCGGCTATAAAGCGCCTTTTTTATACCCTCGGAGATACAAAGGCGCTGTCTTGAGTTTTAGTTTTATGTGTTGGGGTGACAATAGTGTAAAGTGTGGGGCAACTTAGCCCTCGTCGTTATTTACCATAGGTGAGGTTAAGGTCAAATACTTAGTACAAATGTCACTTAAAAGTAAAGTTTTCTGGTTGAAATTATCGTTATGCAACTAAACAATTTGAATATTCCTTAACATAATGCCTGACCCACTGATCTGAAAATACTTTTTGTGCCAATCAATTATAATTTTAAACCTTCAATGAGATTAGATATGCAAAACTGTGTACGAATAATAAAACACCGCGAGTTCAAGAGTGCAGCCTTGACATAGCGACCGTGCTTATTGATTTGTTAGCTTTCTCAAAGTACTGGCAATAAATGTTAGACAAATTCAAAGTAATTCAGCATGAAACACGTTAGCAAACAAGAAAATATAAGACAGAAAGACAAAAAATAGAAGATACTTTAAAACTCACACAAACAAAAAACTGATAAACAAAATGAACAATTTTCATTCTACATATTTATTTAGGCGCTTTGCAAATTAATATAGCTTCTACCACTTCGGGACACATAGACAATCTGCTTGTGCTGTGTTTGATCATGTAGACAATTTCAAATAACATTTTAAAAATTCTTCAGCGTATCCCCGAACGCGATCCGCTTGCGCGTGGGCAGCACTCGGCGCGACTCGGGCGGGCGCATCGTGCGCGTGGCCAACGTCACCGTGCACCCGCGGTACGGACAACCGCAGTATGACAACGACATCGCTGTGCTAGGCCTGGCCCGGCCGCTGGTCTTCAACGATGCCATCAGATCAATCCGGCTGCCCCAGCCGAGACAAGCTGTGCCGCTTGCGAGGATGACGGTCACGGGCTGGGGACTTACTGCGGTAAGTCCTCACTATTATCAATATGCGAGACTCTACCATATAATAGGGTTGGTCCACGATGCACCCGCGTTACGGACAACCGCAGTATGACAACGACATCGCTGTCTTAGGCCTGGCCCGGCCGCTGGTCTTCAATGATGCCATCAGATCCATCCGGCTGCCCCAGCCGAGACAAGCCGTGCCGCTGGCGAGGATGACGGTCACTGGCTGGGGACTCACTGCGGTAAGTAATCACTATATCAATATGCGAGACTCTACCATATAATAGGGTTGGTCCACGATGCACCCGCGTTACGGACAGCTGCAGTATGACAATGACATTGCTGTGCTAGGCCTGGCCCGGCCGCTGGTCTTCAACGATGCCATCAGATCAGTTCGGCTGCCTCAGCCGAGACAAGCCGTGCCACTGGCGAGGATGACGGTCACTGGCTGGGGACTCACTGCGGTAAGTCCTCACTATATCAATATGCGAGACTCTACCATATAATAGGGTTGTTCCACGATGCACCCGCGTTACGGACAACCGCAGTATGACAACGACATCGCTGTCTTAGGCCTGGCCCGGCCGCTGGTCTTCAATGATGCCATCAGATCCATCCGGCTGCCCCAGCCGAGACAAGCCGTGCCACTGGCGAGGATGACAGTTACAGGCTGGGGGCTTACCGCGGTAAGTCATCACTATATCAATATGCGAGACTCTACCATATAATAGGGTTGGTCCACGATGCACCCGCACTACGGACATCCGCAGTATGACAACGACATTGCTGTGCTAGGGCTGGCCCGGCCGCTGGTCTTTAACGATGCCATCAGATCAATCCGGCTGCCTCAGCTGAGACAAGCCGTGCCACTGGCGAGGATGACAGTTACAGGCTGGGGACTTACCGCGGTAAGGGGCGGGTTGGCCTTTAACCATGAGCCATCCAGCTAGGATGGTCACTGGCTAGGCCGTCATGGCGACAAGTCATGATGATGACTTTATCCCACTACACTGTATAATTATATGTATAAGACTCAATCGGAACTGAATCACGCAAAACCGCACCACATTCTGTTCCCCATATCCCATGTGAACTATAAAAAAAGTATCGATAATCTTACTTCCACTGCAAGGGCATACCTAAGCCTCTCTACACAACACTGATATTGGCCAGCTGCGCCTCTGTGTAAGAAATTAGCAGACCTCTGCTTTTAGTTTATGACTTACTAGCTTTCCGCCCGTGGCTTCGCGCGCGTGGACTACATTACCTACATATTTTGCGGAACCCTATTTTTTTCCTAGCCTATGTTACTCGTGGATAATGTAGCTTTCGAATGGTGAAAGAATTTTTAAAAACGGCCCAGTAGTTTTTGAGCCTATTCATTACAACCAAACAAACAAACAAAGTTTTCCTCTTTATAATATTAGTGTAGATTATTACACGATTGATTGTATAACAATGGTATATAACCCTCAACAGCCGCGCGGACGACGCATCCCGCGCATCATGATGGAGGCACGGGTGCCTGTGGTGCCGCACTGGCTGTGCCAGCTGTCTTACGGAGACGCGCTCACCACCAACATGTTCTGCGGAGGACACTTTCTCATAGGCGGCGTGTCTTCTTGCCAGGTAACCTGACGATGTGGACAGATGGTCATGATTTGCATTTGAATACCTATTTTACCATTGTTCTCTAGGTGGTCTGATAGAGAACGCTCCATAGCGATAAGACCGCCTCAATTAAAGTGATGTCTTTCTTTTGTACATTTTTTTTCTTTTCTTGTCTTGTGTGGTGTAAAATAAAAAATGTGTTCTATCTATCAATCTATTTATTTGAATAGCTAGCTTTCCGCCCGCGGCTTCGCCCGCGTGGAATTTTGTCTGTCGCAGAAAAATTTTATCGCGCGCGTCCCTGTTTCAAAAACCGGGATAAAAACTATCCTATGTCCTTTCCCGGGACTCAAACTATCTCTATGACAAACATCGAAATCGGTTCGGTGGTTTAGGCGTGAAAGAGAGACAGACAGACAGAGTTACTTTCGCATTTATAATATTAGTATAGATTAAACGTAGTGTCAATTTAAGTCTTTTGCAAAGTTCAAATGGAACAGCAACTTTTGTAATGTATTCATTCGTTGGGAGTCAGAAAACGGGTTAAAAAAGACAAAAGAAAAAAATCTCTCTCAATGTTATCGTTATGCATAGAGCGATTTGAATAACTAATAATAAAATTGTCCTTTCTTAAACGGATCTTGTTTGTTGAACAAAGTATTTCTACTTCTTTTAGTTTCAGCCTCCTTCTTTCAAATTTTCTATCACTTTGCAGGGTGATTCTGGAGGGCCAGCAGTGTTCAGAGGGACGGCTTACGGGGTGGTCTCTTTCGCCAGAGGGTGTGCTCTACCTCTCTCGCCTACCGTCTTCTCCAACGTCGCAGCTTTGAGGGACTGGGTCACACAGACCACGGGAGTTTGACCTACTTTGGATGGAGCTAACATAAATAAAGACTTTTTGAAAATGAATACTTCTATTGCAGTATTATTTAGTTTTAGGTATTTTTGTAAAGTGTTTTTGTAACGAATTAAATGTGTATAGAATTTTGAAGTGTTGTTTTATTTCATTTAAATTATAGCCACTAATATGAGTAAGTACGAGTATATTTTGATTAAGTAATGTTAGTAATAAAATGTTAAAACTGGCATGTGCTCACGGCTCCATTCGCGTGGGTTACGGTCAGAAATAAGATGTTGATCAAACTATCTTTTAATGTGTGTGTACTATACTGTGTACTATAAAATTATCAAGAATTAATGTTTCTAAAGCTATTAAATGTAATGCTAATCGAAATCGTCTTTCTTTCCAGGTATACGAAATGTTCCTAATCGGGTACCAGTTCAGGGTACTCTCGCCAATCTTCACGATTCACTGGGGGCTGCAAGCGCGCAGGACGCGCCCTCTCTGGAGGGAGAAACAGAACGAAAAGAACAGAAAGCACTTCGAGACATTCAAGAGGGAACTCTTTGCACGATACCGGAGGGACCCCCTCCATCTCATCAGAAGACCGCCACAATCCGGCAAGAAAACCTAGGCAGCGCAGGGCCGCGCCACAAGTGTAGCCGGCCTGCTAACAATCACTTTTGCTGTCCTGTTGTTTTGACAGTGATTATTAAACTGGACAATATTACAATTAGGAGGACAATACGCCAGATGTGTCTGGTAGTGGACGTTTTAGTCGCCAGTGATATATGTATATCTAGCTATTTTTGTAACGGTTTGAAATAGAACGCTGTGCGCTTGCCGGCTTGAGGATAACGTGATACTGTCAGCAGCAATATTCAATTTCAATTTCAATTCAATTATTTCATATTGTATTTGAATGAAATTGATATAACGTTGCTGAGATTACCAAATGTTGGAACGAAAGTCTAGTTGGTTTAGTGCCTTTGCACCTTTGTTAAGTTTCATAGAACCAAATATTTTTAGCCAATATGATGTGAAGTTGTTGTTAATCACAGTATTTCTTTCTTGAACCTTTTATGTATGAGACTGACTTGTCTGCTGATAAATTTTCACTAACATTTACTTCAGCTCTGTAGGTTATTATGGTGTATGAAACTGCACGTAAATGTCGAAATCGTATCCTAAAAGGTACATGAAAGAATTTCTGAGCTTATCAACAATTTTTGCATAAGTGACCATGAAAATTTTAAGATAATATTAACTGATATTGGTCACAAAGGCGTTACTAAGTTGTTATTACGGGCTAATCTTAGTTGTTTTTAGACATAGTGACCCGTAGATATTGGAATGTATTGTGTTTATAAATGATATTAAACTAATTTAATTTCATAGAATATTTTATGCAAGTTTTTCTGCAAGCTATGTCTATTTATATATTTTATCTACCGCAAAAATTATGTAATGGTTGAAGAATTTGACCGAAGAATACCTCAGTAAAATAAATATGAAACCAAAACATAATATAAAAAGCATTTGTATGAATGAAGTATAATTATAATGTAAATATTAAGAGCTAAGTTTGTACAAAGATCACATCCCTAGTATAAATGTATGAATGAATAGCTAATAACATTTTCGTCGAAGTAATCAGTCAGAGTGAGCCATATTGTTACTCAATACTGAAATCTTAGTAACTTACACAATACAGCGTGTAATTGAATTAATGAAATATTGAAATTGAAAGTAGAATTTACTTTCAGTCTATCAAAATTTCAATCATTACTGAAATCATCACAACTTTTTATCACAAAAATGTATATTTTGATGACTAGCAAAAGTAAAAATGAGAGGTCTGGATATTCCACTGTCTGTTTCATTACTGTAGGTAGACGCTCGTAGTCTCGTACTCATTTATATTTACTTACAATTACATAAATATTTTGGCACGCATATTTGTAAGTTACATATTAGTCAAATATATTGTTTTAGTATTAAGTAAATGCACAAAAATTTGCAAGCACAAGATGATATACGAAGTATTTAATGTAATATTGGTAATGTTAAGTTTGATGACGTATGTAGAGTCATTTAGAATAAGTTCATAAATGACCTTTAATTCTGAGGAATATTTTAATCCTAAAATCATGATTTAATAGTGGTATTTGATTTTTTAGTTTTTAATTTTACTAGTTAAAGAAAACTTATTGGACTTTTTGTCTTAAATATGAAAAATGATGTCGCTATTGGTCTTATGAATTAAATATACTTAATTACTTACTTTATATCACATTCAAATAATTTATGATAAGTAGGTACCTATTAGGTACACGTCTTATTTTATTTTATGCATGTGTTTCTTTTTAAATCAATGTAACAAGTTACCATAGCATAAGTAAAGGGAGCAGACTTAATATCGGCTGTGTTACCAGTCTCAAAACTGGAAAAACGTATTTTATTAGTGCATGATGCAACTAATGTAGTTAACCACACTTCAGGTGATTAAAGTGGAATAAACCTTTACCCTCTGGTCCCCACTGCTACAATGTTTTGTGCAGCCAGGATCTACAGTTTGATAAAAACTTAACCAGTGAAGGCCACGTTTGCTGTGAAAGTTAAACTGCTTTTGGACCCAGCAACGCTTGCTAACAACACCGTTCTGTGGGCTTAGAGTAGGCGCACACCGTTGATTTTTCGTCGGCCGATAGTTTAGTCGGGCAGTTAATCAGTATGGGCATGTATGGGAGTGCGCACACTACGCCGATTCGATTTGGCCGATTCTTCATACAATTTAAAATCGGGCACGACTATCGGCCAACTAAAAATCAACGGTGTGCGCCTACTCTAGGAGTAGGTTAATGTGAGTTTACATCAAATGTTTTCACTAGTGACTGCGTAAAAAAATGTCATGAATGTTGTACCTACAGCGACCCTAGCGGATACTTTTTGACGCGCTCGCTAGTGATTACGTTTGGACGTAATCTCACACCAAGCCATCTGTAGGTAATTGAAACAATAATTGAGTCTTATGTATGTTAATTACTTATTACAAAATGTCTTTGGTTTATGAATGAGGTTCTAATGTTACTCGGCTTAGTTACTAGCTTTAATTATATTATTGTTATATTATTTTAGGTCAATCTGTTAAGTGTAGATAATAATTATTTTATTTTCCAGTGTTGTGAATATGTAAGATCATGATTAGGTAGGAATTTTGTTGATTTTGTGAATAAAGTTGTAAATGTCATGAAGGTAAGTGATGTAGGTTATTTTTATATTTTATTAAGTACAATAATTTATTTTTATGGGCACTTGTAGACCAATTGACGATTGTAAATGTTGTGTAAAGTGATAAACCTTCAAAAGCCCAACCGAGTAACATCCAAAATCAATTCAGGCAAAATAATACCAGAGTAAATACAAATGAGTAGGTCATCTTCATAGAAACGCACCAAGCGCGGTTTGTATAGATGACCCACGCTGAACTGTCCCACCAAACTCAATGACAGGGGGGCGCTACCATCGTTCAACTATATGGTTTCCAACATGGCAAAAATCGGAACCAGCCATTCGGTATTGACGGTGGCGCCCCGCTGTCAATGTCATCGATAGGACAGTTCAGTATTTTGGAACTATATGTGATGAATTATATGAATTTTGTCAGTGTGTACGTGCGCGCCGCATACGTATTGGCGCGCTCACATACAAACCGCGCTCACATACAAACCGCGCTCGGTGCGTTTCTATCAAGATGACCTACTCATTTGTATTTACTCTGATAATACTTTATTTATGTAGTAGGTTTGTACATACATACAACTGGACTAGGGTTGTAATAAAAATACCTACTTATTGAGTTTCATAAATACATACTAATACTTATGTTGAAAAAAAAAAAGATTAATTTTAGATGATATTATTCAAACTGTATGAGCTTTTGTTATTGTTTAATACACAATAGTTAGTAGTGAATTTAAAAGTAGCTAGACAAACTTATAGTTGAATCACATACTTTTTATTTACCTAAATATTTATCATTCACAGGGTAATTTATTGTTTGTTGTAGTTATGTAGATTATTTGTCTTATTTATAATCTTTTTTATTATAATTTTATTTAAACAGTTTTTTTCTATTATGCATACAATTATAATATTGTTATTTTTCTTTTGAGAATAATAAAAATACTTTGGGATTAAGGTATTATTATCTAGATATCATAAAGTTATTATTTTCATTACTTGGAATAAAATGTTAATTTCTATTGGTATTAAAGTGTTTTATTAATGAATTGGGTCAAAATTTAATTGAAGTCATTATGAATATGTATTATTAACTGAATGTAGGTAGTTTTTTGTATTTAAAACTGGTGATGGTGAATTAGATCATCTTCCTAATGGTCCAGTGGCTACAGTCCTACAGTGTAGGTAATGCATGAGTTTGAATCCTGAAACTGGTCAGATTTCGTCGGCCGTTTGGTGTAGTGGTTCGAATCGGACTACTTTCCGGAGGTTGCGGGTTCGATTCCCGCACAGTACAAACATTTGTGTGCATGAACATATTTGTTTGTATTGGACTGGGTGTTTTCTATGTATAATATGTATGTATTTACAAAAAAAAAAAGTATTTAAGTATGTTTATATCCGTTGTCTAGTACCCATAGTACAAGCTTTGCTTAGTTTGGGGCTAGCGGCGTAGTGTAAAAATGTCCAAGGATATTTATTTATTTTATTTATTTTCGTTATTTGTTGGTGCTCTTAGATGTTGGTCATATAAATCCTCTCGCAACAGCTGGCAAATCTCGAACATGGGAGAAGAGAGTAAGCTCCTCATGAAAATACTTTATTTATCGTAGTTTTAAATGCTCTACACAAACATACACATAAATACTACACAACTAACGAATGAATATGCAATTTCGAAAAGGACACTGTAAGCAAATTAAAATTCTGTAATTCATCAGAAACACGCGTAATAGTGTTCAAACATATTATGTCGTTCTCGAAAATGCATATTACCCAATTGCAATAAAGCCTTCGTCATGTGTCGGGCTTCCTAGTGATGTGTTGATGCACCCAGTCCCAGATGATGTGGTGCGAGAGACGCGTATAAACGCCGGGAAAGTTCCCGCGTGCGCAGCCCAGGCCCCAAGACACCACGCCGATCAGCACGCCGTCACTCACGATTGGCCCGCCGCTGTCACCCTGGTAAAAATGGTTCAAATTCTTAATCCACAGAAGTCCATTGCTGGATAAAGGATTCCCTCAAGGTTTCGCAAAGCAGTCGGTCCTGCGGACTCCTGTGCCGCTTGCATCCAGGAGTATTCGTGCCCTGCACAAGGCAGGTCAATAAGCCATCGACTGAGAGGACTGGTCCGTGGTAGCTACTCGAGAACTTTCTGCCCTATGGCTATCATTCTACGAGGCACGTGCTTCGCCCACCATCTATTTTCTTATCTTCAAGACTTCTAAGTAAGTGGTAGGTATGTTCTAGACAAGCGGTCCAAAATAAAAACAGTCACAGCGGGGGTGTGACGCAGTTACCTTCAAGTCACGTAAGCAAAATGTCACCAACAACATTGTCTACAACCTTCGCGGCTTATGTTGCTCGCTCGTTCTCGATCATAATCAAAATTCACCAGAGATTCTCATCGTTTTACTCATAACCCACAATTTCTAAAAGCTTTACTTACCTGGCAAGCGTCAGGCGAAGGCTGCGTGAAGGAGCCCGCACAGAACATGGAGGGAGGGTCGATGGCCTTGCGGTCCAGCCCCGAGTGCTTGCACAGCTTCATGGCCACCGTCTTGATGGTGGACGACTGGAGGTACGTCGCGCTTGGACCCCCTTCCTGGTATAAAAACAGTAGGCCTAAAATTTCGTAAAGTCCACTGATTATTTTAAAACAGTCAGCATAAGAATAATTAAGAGCAGTTAAGAATTTGACTAGGTACTCGTAGGTAAAAAGGGAAGACGACTCTACTTGGTTTGATGGAGCCGCCTACGATACCTCATAAGGCTAGGATGGTAGGTATTTATAGCTCACACAAAAATACAAGGGAATGAATTAATGTAAGACCTTCTGACTTTTCTCAGGGTTCAATTACCTTCAACTTCCCCCATCCAGAAACAATAGCCGGCACATCAGCCGGCAGCCTCGCTTCTCTCGCCACCAGCTTGATCGGCAGCACCTTCTCGGAGAAGCGGAGCGGCGAGTACAGCCGTACTAGCCCTACGTCGTTGATCTTGGTCTTGCTGACGTAGCGCGGGTGTACGAAGCACTCTTTGACGTCATACATTTCGCCCCCATGCGTCTTCCATGAGGAGCCCAGGCGGACGCTTAGTTCGCTTGAGCGGGCCCTGAAAAAGATTTAACTAAGGAGTGCATACTTTCACCGGCATTATACATGTTGTGTCATTTAAATAAATGAAAAAATAGCACCGAATGAACCAGTTATATGGCTTCAAAGATATTATTCCTTCGCATAGTTTTAAGTTCCTAAACTTCATCAAAAAGCGCGATTTAGACTTATTCATAACCAGTCTTTGTAAACAGATCTACCTACTAAATAGATAGTGAATGCCACATGGCATTAAGCTCGCCTGTTGTACCACTGTATTTTTATGTGTGCAATAAAGATTTTAAATAAATAAATAAATAAATAGTAGGTAAGTAGGTATCAGATTAGTTTCGAATCCCCAAAAGCGTAACTTCAAATCAACCGCGTTCCAAACATGCGCCGAGCAGCGAAGCATTTCAGCACACCAATCGCTCTCGTGTTGAATAAATCCGGCGGGCATCGCGACACTCTTTATGGGGCCCCTCGTGAACGCCTCCCGCGTTCCTTTCACAATTTCAATTTATCCTTCGCCTCGGATTGTGTTTTTTCGAATGCAAAGCAGCGATCGCCTCTGGGGCGACTCGCTACGTGACGCCGGCGGTGCCCCCAAACGTGTGGATTCTTGAATATGTAATGATTCCGTATTGACATGGGAATCTATCGTCTACTTTTTCAGGGAATCTTATTTTAGGCACATTTTCTTTTGCCAATTCCCTGGATGTTCTCAATTCAAATCGGCATTGCTGCTACAAACATATTCGTAGGTACGATTCCCTCTACAGAGAATTTCAGGTGTTGCAGAATTAAGCTAACATTTGGACTTGAATAGGCCATTTACTTTATGTGGTATTGGTGTGGTAACCAGCGCGGCCGTAAGAGCTGAGTGTACACACGGAGCAATTCCCATTACCCACAGCCCGATGAATAAAGCCAACACACGTAACAAACACTTTAGTTACTCTAAGTATGATGCTAGTAACTATGTTTCGAAGGTACGTAAGCGTCCGTTTGCAAATAATGCATGCAGGTTTTTATTATTGTAGGTAGGTTGGAACTACCTAAGTAACATGCAACTGCCGCTATTATAGCATATTTAGAGCCAAAAACGTGTGACTTGATTTTCTACCACTCAACAAGAGTCAAGGCCGAATTAATCATTGACAATACAATGTAGAAGTAAAAAGAACTAGCTGTTCTCGCCACCCCGTGGACAATCGCAGCGTAGCGCCGCATGTATCGACGCTCTCGGAGTTACGACGGCTCTCAAGAAATTTATAGTCCTTCCCGAAAAGCGATATGTCCGAGGCCTCGCTCCAATATTCCTGTATTAGATAGCCGCTCGGCCCTATGTCTCCCGAATGTCCGCAACTAGAGTTTTGTATCAGCGTTTGTTTTGATTTTCTTGTCAATGTTCTTTGATATATTTTCTTGTACGTTACGTAGTTTGCGATCCTAAAATTGGTTAAATACTGAAAAATATCCTCTGGAAAATATCGGGGGAGGCTAACGTTCAGCAGTAGACATCCTGTGGCTGAAATGATGACGATGATATAAGTATTTCTAGTGCGATTTTAATTAACTAATTAAAATCGCATTCAATACTTAACGGCAAATGTCAAGAAGAGTCAGTACAATATGGTCTATTCCACTTTGATCACCTAGATTTGATCACCCGGGTGATCAAAGTGGACTCATGGCGACACTTTGGTGTCCTTTGATTACCCATCACCCGTGATCGAAGTGGAATAGACCTACAATAGGAATCGTCGGACCATATTAAGTACCTCAAGAGACAGTGGGCAGCAGTGAGCAGCCACAGGTCGGTGATGACGGAGCCCCCGCAAATGGGATAGGTCTTCTCCCGCAGGGACACCTGCCACGGCACCGCCGCTATGGACGTGTTGCGCCCTGACACTATGCGCCTGGTAGAGCCTGTGTAAATCAAACCAATGGATACCAAAGTATCTTGAAGGTAGATCTTGTAATTAAAAAACAAACATACATGTATGAGCCTCAAAACAGGTAAGCCACCTTCTCTTGCACTGTGTTTCCACACTGTCCATGGCATGACACTTTCATAAAATATCTAGGTTAGGTATTATTATACCTGAAAACTTGAATTACCTCTTCGATTCTGCGGCGCGCTTTCTGAAAAGAACAATGTACCTATTTATTGGTGTGCATAAATACGGCGCGACAAACGCCGGCAGTGATCCCGCCTCGCGTTTAGGCTTTGTGGATCTCCTATTTACATTTATGCCTGCAGTTTATCACGCTGTAGCAATGTTTACATTAGTAGAATGTTCCAATATGCTGCCTTCGCGTTTAATGCCACGCGCCGCGGCCGTTGATGTTTGTTACCAGGTACTTAGGCTGTTTTGTAGTTAAGTAACTTATGAGCATTTGAGTGTTGCTTAATTTATGAATAACCAGAAAATACTCGTACAAAGAAAAAAATAGTAAAGTGGTATACTTATTATTATTTGTGGTACCTATTACTAATATAATCGGTAGGTACTTAGGTAATACTATTAGGTACCTATTTAGATAGGTCTGTTGACATTCAGACTGTTAATTTCCTAATCTTGTAATTTTAATGCTAAAGCTAGCTATACCTACGTACAGTTAGCAGTAATACCATACATTATTTTCTTTCTATTGCCGAAATCTTGGGAATACTATTTTTATTAATTAAATATCCACACAGTAAGAAGGACATAAAAAGGATCCAAGACGTCCATAAAATTATTACCAACGACGCAATAAGTTCCTCCGACACAATCTAGATTATTATTTCCAAGAGATTTTCTTTTACTTAGGGAAAATAAATCTGTTCAATTATGGAGATAGCTGTTTAAATACGTATTAGTAGAGACAAGTTAAAGAAATTTTGAATACGGCACAAAATTGTTTGCTGATGAAGAATTTTCAAATGAGCGGCTGCCTTTTTTTTAAATCATTAGGTTATTTACCTAACAGTTTTGAGAGCAAGCATTTGTACATCGTTTTGTACTTTTCTTGAACACGCGTTTGGTTTAAGAATTTCAATATCTCATGTTTGTGTCGCTCCGCCTCCCCCGCTAAATCCGAATAGTCTATGTCTGCCGCTTTCCCGGCGTTTATCACTTCAGTGTCTTCGCCACAGACGCTAATAAACAACAAAAACAATATTCCACGGAACATCGCGACTTCGAAAGCAAGTTTCATTTAAACTTAGTTGATTTGGCAACGTGAAAGGAAACTTGGACACGCCCCGATTATGGACAATTCCCTTCGTAACATTGCGACTGTACGTTACTTAGTTTTAGACCGATAATACTGACTTTCTGGTTCTGGTTACCACGTATGTTCAAGCAGGCAGACATAAAGTGTAACGACCGTGAAATTGCTAGAACTTTATGGAGTGCATTGAAAAGTTATACGCAACGCCATCGTACGTACCGAAGTACGCTATTACACTGTTTTCTTCATAGCTAAAACGTTTGAACGAGACTTGTTGCTATTAAGTTTTAGGAGGCGCTAAATTGTAAGTTTATTTTTATTAAGCGGGTAGGAAATAAAATTTAAAGTGAAATTCTATCACTTTGATCGTCTATCTATAGACATAAAATATTAATCATGGTTATGAATTGTCAAAAAGGTCTTAAAGTTTCATTTGAAAAGGGTGCGAAGTTCAGTATTGCCTCAGGGTCTTGTTTTGGGATTTTAAAACTTGGAAAATCCGCTGTAGGATCGTACTAACGAGTTTTGCTCCAGGTGGCATTCGTCCCGGGTCGGCCAATCTGTAATTAAATTTATTTCATTTGAGAAAGTTCGCGTTTGTTTGAAAGACTCCGTGACGCGAGTGGACAAGAAAAAGCTTTCATGGACGGACTTGTTTTCTTTGTGTTTCATTGAAATTATTTGTTTGTGTCTGCAGCTGGTGGGAGAACTTTAGGGTTCTTGTATTTTCAAAGTAGGTTAATGTAAAGTTATAATTATTGAATCTTTTAACTTAGTTTTCCCAGCTTTTTATTTATTTTAATTGTTTTGCTTTTCATGGAGCAGTATTCTGTTTACCACAGATTATAAATTATTATTAGAAAATCTATGGAAAATCTTAGAGAAAGCGGTATAAACTTTATGACCTTTGCCTCTTAGAAAAAAAAGAAAGTCAATATTTATTGCTTGTGGAAAATGGCGTGTGTGTTTACAAATTAATTAATCCATTAATTAATTAATTAAAACGCTGTGATTATCTTATTATGAGTTAACTTTAGGGTGGATCTAGTAAAGGTTTTCTTGTAAAATGAAATTCTTAATCATTGTTGTCATTAGTGAAATTATTAAATGGAAAAGTCGGGTGCTGCATCAAGACTCGGGAGAAATAAAATGTCAATAAGGTACTTAATTAAATGTTTTTAGTGTTGTTAGAGCTTATGCTAGAGCGTGTTCTATTAAATTATTACTTCATTGTCAAAAGTAAGTAAATTTTATTTTTAACAAATTGTAAAAAGTTTGTTAATGAATGTCAAAGATTTACGTAGGTTTTTTCTGCCTGGATAACAGCATGATGTTTTCGCTGGAACGGAGCGTATCTACCTACATACAATAGCCTACAATTTTCTTGCTCCATTTGTATGTAGGTACTTAGTGAAAATCATCGACGGTTTAGTTGTTTAAGTGTGAAAACATTACCGTAAGATATCTCGTTGTTCAATATTCATTGCATTATGTTCGTTAGTAAGTATGTAAAATTTAATGCTTAAAATAGTTGATTGGAGTGGGCTTTTTAGCCAACCGAGATAATAAGCCGACACCTGAAAGCTCTTAATTTGCAAGCTTCTGTGTCGTAAAACAGAACGCGATACCAAGAAGTTGTAAGGGCGACAAGTCCCCGCAACACCTACTTCGCAGGTCTACAATGACTGGGCTGGGACCAACTTGATAAGCACATCTTATTTTTAAGCGAAAAGTTGAATATTTTTCATTGAGAGCAAGACAAGCAGATTATTATTAACTAAGTGTTCTTTACAGGGCCATGAAACACGCCGAAAATACGCAGTCATCCGCTGAGAGCTTCAAGTTTCATGGTAAGTTTATTTTACGAATATTCTAGTTGCTAACAATCTTCGTAATAAGCTTTGTTAAGACTGCCTGCCTACTTTGCCACGTGGCCTTATGTGCAATCACATTTTTCTATAGAATAAATTGTGTACCTAATGTGTAGGCTCTTGTTAATTAATTTCTACTTGCATAAAAAAAATTAAAACCACCTGTAACTGGTTTCATAACCGTGAGCCCCACCACATTATTTGTATTTCGCAAATTCGTTAAAAAAGGCGAGATCGGTGCATTAATACGAACCTAAGTGTGGAACGCCGTCGAAATTTCCGTCGAGCAAACTTTGCACTCACTAACACTTCTTATTAGTATTCGCCGAGTATCGACCTAATTATAACTTCCGCGAGAGGGCGCTTTGATTTTTATTGCCTAATGAATTTATAATACGCACCGCAATTTGGCGGAACTTCGGTATATCTTGACGACATTGTGCTAGCCACTTAACGTGGCGATTGTAATTCCAAGTTGTATTACATTGTTTGCTTATTCATGTTTGATTAACTTTTTGTGTTCATTTTAACTTTGTAAAGAAATTACAAACTTGCCGGTTGTAGGGATTGTCGTTAAATGGCTATAAAGATTGTATTTTAACTTACATTTTAGTACAAAAACGTTTATTATTTTATGAATAAATTATGAAGAGTCGCCTGTGCCTTTATGGAAATAATTTAAATTTTTGCAAGGAGCTAAGTAGTTTCAGATCAACTTTAGTTATATTTCGGTTTATATTGGCAAAATAGAGTGTACACACCCCAGGTCCAGTCGAGGGAATGCTAGGCTAAATAAAAGCCAACTTCGCAAACAACGGTATATTGTTCCAAAGATAGTCGATTTCATACAAACAGATTTTACTATATAAAGGGCCCTCCGAATACTTCACTTGTGAGAGCTAAGTAAGCACAGCGTCATCTATTGGTAGTTTTACGAACTTTGTTCTTGTAAACACTTGTACATTAACTGCCCGCCAAGGACAAATTGATATAATTGTCCTTATAAAAGAAATTAAAAAAAATACCTTGTCAAAATGTCGCGCTAAAATAGAATTTATCTTTGCTGGGCTTACAAAATAAAACAATTATTACAAAGTAATATAAACTGAAAAACTAAAAAATAAGTTTAAAATATAAACAGAAAACTTAAATAATAAATGTAAGTTCAATCACTTACAGGTAAAACACATATTTTATTTGTAGGGCGTTTTATCAAAGAGTTTTTGCTCTTTACTGTGACCACCCTCGTAATTCCATCTTGACCTGGATGTTCATCCACAATTTTACCATAAAACCATCTGCATGGCGGAAGACCATCCTCTTTAATCAACACTATGTCTCCTACTTTAGGTTGTGTGGCTTGTGTGGCCCATTTATATCTGTGGAAGAATTGGTTCAAATATTCTTTAGACCACTTACGCCAGAATTCTTGAGTCATACGTTGAGTGTACTGCCATCGTCTAAGTGAGCCTATATTTGAGTTCTCGTAATTTCGATCTGGTGCTGTGACTAGAGGTTCACCCACAAGAAAATGTCCTGGAGTTAACACTTCATTTTCCTGATCTCCATCCAGCTTAGACNTAAGTGAGCTTATATTTGAGTTCTCGTAATTTCGATCTGGTGCTGTGACTAGAGGTTCACCCACAAGAAAATGTCCTGGAGTTAACACTTCATTTTCCTGATCTCCGTCCAGCTTAGATAAAGGCCTCGAATTTAGGCAAGCTTCGACCTGTACTAACACTGTCGACATTTCTTCGTATGTCAAGGTGGAATTGCCAATGACTCGTTTGAGGTGGAACTTAACGGATTTAATTCCAGCCTCCCATAGTCCACCGAAGTTGGGCGCGTGAGGTGGGATAAAATGCCAGGTTGTAAGTAAGGGGGGGGCGGTGGGGGCGGTCCGCCCCGGGTGCCAAGCATCAAGGGGTGACACAAGTCTTGGGGGTGTGATTGTCTTTCAATCTTCGAATCGGTAGGTAACCCCAAAATCCTGGGGGTACCAGGGGGTGCCATAGGACTTGTGACGGGGGGGGGGGGGGGATCGCCCCGGGTACCAACCCATGCTACGCCGCCACNGTGGGATAAAATGCCAGGTTGTATTGTTGTTGGCCAATTGTTCAGCTATTTCTGGAAGGATACTGTCTTTCTCATTGGAGAAGAGCTTTTGTATTTCTGCTGCTGCTCCCACAAAGTTCGTGCCATTGTCACTCCAAATATCTGAGCAAGGACCTCTACGGGCGACGAATCTTTTAAAAGCTTGAAGAAAGCCATGTGATGTAAGTTCGCTGACCGCCTCCACATGTACGGCTTTGGTCGCCATACATACGAACAAACATATGTATCCTTTATAGGACTTATAACCCCGACCCCTTGTAGTGCGGATTTGGATCGGACCTGCAAAGTCCACTCCACTTCGTAAAAAAGGACGAGCTGGTGTGACCCTCACTGCAGGTAGCTGTCCCATCAATTGTTGGTAAGTCTGACCTTTATTCTTCACGCAATCAACACATTTTCTCACATGGGTTTTAACTAATTGTTTAGCTCCAATAATGTAGTACTTGTTCTGTAAGTAATTCAATGTTAACTGCGGCCCGCCATGTAACGTCTGATGATGAGCGTCTGCAATCAGCAAGGCCGTGAGTTTAGAGCTCTTTGCCATGACAATTGGATGCTTACGACTTGATGCCATATGAGATTTTTCTAATCTCCCACCGACTCTTAGTAAATTTGTTTCATCTATAAATGGATTTAGAGATTTTAATGAATTGTTTTTAATTGGAATATTCTTTTTTATAGCTTCAATTTCTTCTTCAAATTTAATTTTTTGATCTCTTATTATGCAAACTTCTAACGCCTTTTCCATTTCCTTTGTAGTTAAATACTCATTGTCTTTTCTTTCAGATTTCGGCTTCTTCATTTGTAAAAATCTTCGACAGTATGCTGTTACTCTTATTAATCTTCTCAGTTTCGAAAATCTTTCGAAGAAATCTTCTTCAGTTGTTATGTTGTGAACTTTGATGGCTTCTATTTCGGTTGTTAATTCTGTAGGTTTTTTGTAATTTATATTTTTAGTCATCAAAAACTCCGGACCATTTAACCACAGTGATTTATTTTTCAGCTCTGAAGGTGTAACTCCCCTGGATGCGTAGTCTGCTGGATTTTCCTGAGTACTTACGTGTGACCACTGATTAGGATTTAAGTTGGTAAGTATTTCAGAGACGCGATTGGCTACAAATACCTTCCATCGGCTGGGCAAGCTGTTTAACCAGGCTAAAACTATTGTGGAATCCGTCCATGCATGCAGGTTTGTATGTTCAATATTTAGAACCTTAGACGTCTCCAGCATTAATCGTGTAAGCTCTACAGCTCCGCATAATTCCAGCCTTGGTATAGACACTTGTTTGATAGGTGCCACTTTAGATTTTGCTGTTACCAACGACACATGGATATTCCCTTCCGCATCAATAGTTCGGATGTATACCACAGCGGCGTATGCTACCTTCGAGGCGTCGCAGAACCCATGGAGTTCCCTCTTGACGTCATTTAATCTCGTTCCAAGCCATCTAGGAATCTTCACTTCGCTTATGCTTTTCAGGTCTTCCCGGTAAGTACAATATTCCTGCAGTATTTTACTAGGTGCTTCATCATCCCAATCAATCCCCGCTATCCACAACTTTTGTATCAACACCTTTGCTATGATTATACATGGTGTAACCCAACCTAAGGGATCGAATAGGCGTGATATATCTGCTATTATTTTTCTTTTAGTAATAGGTGGTAGCAGTTCTGGAAGATCAACTTTATATCGGAAATGATCACTGTGCCGTTCCCAGGTAAGTCCCAAAATTTTTATTACTTCATCCATTTTTATTGTTATCCCATCTTTACATTCCTCTTTTTCCTTCCCGTTTTCCTGTTCATTTTCCCTGCTCTTAATCATTTTTAACAATTCTTCGTCATTACTCGCCCACTTCTGTAATCTAAATCCCGCTTTATTTAGTAAACTTTTCATTTGTGTATATAATTCTATTCCTTCTGTTACAGATTCACAACCGCTCATCATGTCATCCATGTAGAAGTTTTCTTTAACTTTATCCACTGCTAAAGGATAATTAAGACCTTCATCCTTTGCCACTTGTTGAAGCGTTCGAACTGCTAAAAATGGAGCTGAAGCAGTACCGAAAGTCACTCTAACAAGTTTGTAATCTCTGATTGCCTCATTAGTGTTATTTCTCCATACCAATCTTTGAAAATTAGTGTCATCTTCGTGTACCTTTATTTGTCGATACATTTTAACAATATCTGCTGTAAGACAAATCCCACCAAAAACATTCTGTAAAAAACTAGCCAAGTCTCGATGGAGCTGCTTGNTTTATTTGCCGGTACATTTTAACAATATCTGCTGTAAGACAAATGTACGACAGTCTCCACTTCATCACTAAATGTCTCAAGTCTGGCTGAATGGTTGGTCCCACCATGAGGTTTTCATTCAGTGATACTCCATTTTTTCCTACCTGAGAGGCATTAAATACTACTCTGAGCTTAGTAGTATCCTTGTCCTCTCGAACAACTGCGTGGTGTGGTAAATATACTGATTCTTCTCTTTCCAAGTCTGGTTCCAGTACTTCGAACATGTGTCCCATTTCCAAATACTCATTTATTACAGCCTATAACTTTCTTTGAATTTCTTATCTTTTTCGAATCTTTTTTCCAGCCCTTTTAATCTTTGCACAGCTATACTTCTCGTCTCTCCTCTTTTGCACTCTGGGTTTTCTGTCTTAAAAGGCAATTTCACGATGTACCTTCCTTCTTTATCTCTAGTAGTTGTTTTAACATAAAATTCTTCACATTTTCTTTCTTCTTCTGTGTACTTTTGTTCCTTTGTGAGACTCATGCTATTTTCCAACTCCCAAAACATTTTCAACAGTTCATCGCTTTCTTGTAACTGGCAATGCAACGATAATGTTTCTGCGTTTTGATAATTTGGTAGTTTCACCGTTCCCGATAAAATCCAACCCAAGCTCGTGGATTGAGCAAGGAGCGTTCCGTTTGATCCCTTTCGTATACCTTCTTGGATTATCTGACTAAATACTTCCGCACCCAATAATATGTCTATTTTATTGGGTCGGTTGTATTCTGGGTCAGCAAGTTCTATGCCTTGGAATTCTGAGTAATCTAATTGATCTATTTTCCTACTAGGGAGGAAAGAAGTAATAGATTTCAGAACGTACGCATTCACTGTGACACTCCAATTAGGGTCTAACCTAGATTTAACCTTTATGGTCACTTTCGCTTTTGAGACTAATCCTTTATCTCCACCCACTCCCAAAATCTTACCATGAATTGGTGTTTTTCTCAATTTCAAATCATTTACAGCCGATTCTGTAACGAAGTTTCCTTGAGAGCCTTGATCTAATAAGGCTCTCAACATGTAGTTGTTCCCATTTCTCGACTCAGTATTGATTAGCGCCGTCGCTAACAATACTTGTTTTACATTACCTGTCGAGACGTTACATGAAACCACAGTTGATGTTTTATTTGATTTACCTGCCTCATAAGGCCCCTTTGGTGGACTATCTTTTCCCTCTGACTCAACCTTNGCAGCGCTTCGCATCTGTATTCTGAGCGCACTTTGGTATCGGGCAGAAGCGCGGGCGCGCGGCGAGAGGCGCGTTGTCTCGCTCTAATGCTCAAGGTCGTTCGGCCATGTAATCGCCTTAACGAGATAAACAAATCTCGGAATGTGATCCATTCCGTGTATTTCCCAGAAAAATTAGGAATAACTATTTTAGGTAACTTAAATGATTCAGCTTTAGAATCATGATGTTTCTCACTAACTTCAGTTCTAGCAGATTTTGATTTCGAAAATGACTCTATAGTAGACCTAAGCTCGGTTTTATAATCAGTGTATATCTCCTCTGCTAAATCATAAACATACTTCTGTGAATATTCATGAGATTTTAATGCGGCACCATATTTTCTAATAAGTGACCTATGATTTTTCGCAAACTCAGCCCATAATTCCTCTAATGACTCCAATCTTGTTTTACAATAAGCCTCTGTTATTCGCTCTTTAGGAGATTTATTATAATTCTTTTTGGCTTTATAAATTTTATCATAAGTATCCACTTGCAAATTAATTTCCGAATCCATATTTAATAATTAATATTATAAACAAATGCAATTAATAAACCTTTAAAATAACGGGGTTTGGAACTCCAGAAACTTAAACTTACACAATCAAACTATAACTTCTATCAAAGACAAGTGTACAATTTTCTAAGTCTAAAACACATTTAAACTTTACTATGTTAAAAATTACTAAAATATTTCTAAGTGTTTTTTCAATAAAAATCTAACCAAAATCGGGTATAGGTTCCCCGTCGGAACAAATTTTTCTTAAAATTAGACTAAGTTAATACTAAACATGCACACAAATTTTCAAAGTCCCAATCATCTTCGAATTATAACTAAATCTTCCAAGTTTATTCTTCCAAACAAATAAGGTTCAAATTCGCGTTTCCAATTCACTTCACTACGTATCGTATTTTAATATCACTTCCAAGTTTTAAAGTTATTTACCACGAAGCTATAGAGTTCAATTTTGCTTGACTCGACCAATAAGAAAATAATTCAACACTCACAGTTTTTGTCCTTGTCACTCACTCGCGCGTGACGTCACTGGTCAGTTGTCCTTTTCTGGCACCTGAACTGGCTCCTGACGGCACTNTAATTCTTTTTAGCTTTATAAATTTTATCATAAGTATCCACTTGCAAATTAATTTCTGAATCCATATTTAATAATTAATATTATAAACAAATGCAATTAATAAACCTTTAAAATAACGGGGTTTGAAACTCCAGAAACTTAAACTTACACAATCAAACTATAACTTCTATCAAAGACAAGTGTAAAATTTTCTAAGTCTAAAACACATTAAAACTTTACTATGTTAAAAATTACTAAAATATTTCTAAGTGTTTTTTCAATAAAAATCTAACCAAAATCGGGCATAGGTTCCCCGTCGGAACAAATTTTTCTTAAAATTAGCCTAAGTTAATACTAAACATGCACACAAATTTTCAAAGTCCCAATGATCTTCAAATTATAACTAAATCTTCAAAGTTTATTCTTCCAAACAAATAAGGTTCAAATTCGCGTTTCCGATTCACTTCACTACGTATCGTATTTTAATATCACTTCCAAGTTTTTAAAGTTATTTACCACGAAGCTATAGAGTTCAATTTTGCTTGACTCGACCAATAAGAAAATAATTCAACACTCACAGTTTTTGTCCTTGTCACTCACTCGCGCGTGACGTCACTGGTCAGTTGTCCTTTTCTGGCACCTGAACTGGCTCCTGACGGCACCTCCTCACCAGCATCAGCACCAGCACCGTCCCGAAGTCCAAAGCCGGATTCGCCACCAAGCTCGGACCCCTGCTGCAGCAGCTCCAACTCCTCAGGGTGCTGCTCCTCCAGACAGGCAGCACCAGATAGGCACCTCCAGTGCACCACACTCCGCCTTAATGCTCCAAAATTCGCGTCACCGTCAGAACGACTTTCCCATCCGGATGAGGTCTGGCACACCTTACCGGAGCTCGAAGGACCATGTACACACCCCAGGTCCAGTCGAGGGAATGCTAGGCTAAATAAAAGCCAACTTCGCAAACAACGGTATATTGTTCCAAAGATAGTTGATTTCATACAAACAGATTTTACTATATAAAGGGCCCTCCGAATACTTCACTTGCGAGAGCTAAGTAAGCACAGCGCCATCTATTGGTAGTTTTACGAACTTTGTTCTTGTAAACACTTGTACACTTGCTATAAAAAAAATATTTTTATTTCGCTAATCCTCATAACGGCCGGCCCATTTCGTTATTCCATCCATACATTCAATAGGCATTTAGTGTTACTAATATGCGATTATCCGCACAATCCCATACAAGGTCCAGATTAGCAGCTGGCTACCACAGGATTACGGTAATGGAGGTCACAATTTTGAAACAGAATTTTGTGAGGTCAAACCAGGCTTACTAAAAATCAATAAAAACATATAGGTTACTTCAAAAACTAAAATAAATTGGATGATATTAAAAAAAAAAAATCTTCTTTCAGGTTTGTTTATTGAAGTTTCATCATCAACAGCCCTTTACAGTCCACTACTGGACTATGAGCCTCCTCCACTATAGTGGAGGGTTTTGCCATAATCCCCACGCTTGGCAGGCGGGTTGGAGATCGCAGTATAAAAGATTGATGTTTGTCAGAGAGCGCTGCTGCCCGTCCTCTGTTTGATGTGTAGTCCCTAAGTCGCCTCTTACGACACCCGCGGGAAGAGTAGGGGTTGGTGACAAATGTATTCTACTCTGCCGTCACCACACGGCAAATTATTGAAGTTTAGACGGTGAATAAAAAAACAGTGACAGTCAAATCCTTTAATTAGTACCTACCAAGTTAACAGTAAGACAACCCAGGACCGAGCCGCCTGGAGACGCATGACGCGGAGGGCCGACCCCCATTAAAATAGGAATGGGCCAGGCAAAATAGTAGTAGTCAAATCCTGTAATTAATTACTTAGCTTTACCTACTTGATGATTATCTACCTCCATAAATTCCGTAAATAAATGACCAGATTCTCGATTTTGAGCTTTTAGGTTTGATTCCCAGATAGACAAATGTAGTGTCAAATCACTTTATGTATTGATTCCCAGTCTGCTTTCGATTGAAGGCTTGAATGAACCTTGTCTGAAAAATAAATCAAAATTGCTTTGGACTCTTTGGAGGGCACGTAAGCCCAATGGAGACCCATTGGGCTTACTGGCTAACATGGGTCAATGAAGAATGTTCACTAATTTTGTTTTTTAGCTTTCTGTATTCTCTGTTAAAAATAAAAAATACACGTGTAAGAATTATTTCGATACGTCAATTAGTTTCCAAGATATTGAATTTTAAAAGTGCGGGCGGCGGCCGGCCCGCCATTTTATGCGCGTGACGTCATATTACAGTGACTGGCTCATATTTGTATGGGTGGAATCTTGCATGCTGAATTAAGAGCCACTTCCAGGCAACCGATTAAGCTGAAATTTCGCAAACACGTGTGATTTGGATGACCATGCAATATTATGATGACATGGAGCTGATCTGATGATGGAGCTGGAAGGTGGCCATAGGAACTCTATAATAAAACGACTTAAATGCATCGAGTTTGGGCTCGTTCGTTTTGTATTGATGAGTATTTTAATTCTATATAGTAATCGGGGTCTAATGATGGAGCTGGAAGGTAATTCGCAATAAAACGACACAATCGCATCAAGTTTGGGTTTGGTTCAATTTTAATTTCTGTGATGGGTCTGGGTGTTAATATGTATAATAAGTTTGTATTTACAAAAAAAAATGTATTTCAGTATGTTTATATCCGTTTTCTAGTGAGCGGACACTGTGAATGTACGTCACGCGGGGTCACGTGACCGTCGGCGGGACTCAATATTTAAGCGAACTTTGAATGCCTATAAAATCATAACTACTGGGTATTTTTGAATGAAATAAAAACTAATGTATTTGTAAATGTAAAAGCTTAACTGTAACATAGGTTTCAAGTGATTTTGCATACCTAGTAACATTCTCAAACCATGTTAGCCAGGCAGCTCATCAAGTTTGTCACTAAAATTGTGACTATTGTTACGCCCGTATTCACAAATAATGCTTACTTAAGTGAAGTAGCAAATCGAACGCACAGCGTTGAATAGAGCTCTGTGATTGGTTCGTGTGTCACCCTGTGCGTCCACGCGCACTGTGAGACCTCATAGCATAGAGTGATACGGGCGTTAGTGCCACACGATAATAAAAACGAAACAGGTGTATTAAGTTACTCAATCCTTTGTGTACGTACCGTAACCAGCAGTTACGTCGAAAGTTCGCAAACAAGGCAGAGAGCTTTTCGATCTTTGAACTTCGCTCGCGATAAGCTTTCGTAACGTAACGTCAGGATGACACGCGGGTTCAGTAAGTAGGTGAGCGAGGCTGAGCTTAATTAGCAAGTTGGCAACACTTTTAAAGGTTCCTTAGCTAAAGGGTGCCAATAGGAACCTAATTATTGCCTATATTCAATTTAAATCAAATCAAATCGTTTATTCATTCATAAAAGTAGCAGGAAGGTGCTGGATGCAGGCCGCTAACAACCGGCCTTTGTAGAAATCATTGGGGGAGCCCTATGTTCAGCAGTGGACGTCCAATGGCTAAAATAATGATGATGATGATTACTTAGGCCCTTTCCAGGGTGCTTATACAGGGTGTTAGGTAAATGGGTATATGAGCCGACACTAGCCCATGTTAACATGGTCATATAAATGGTATGGTGAAGTCAGATAATTGATATCTTCATTTTAATTGGATTTTATAACATTTATTTTGTATGAAAATTTAAAAAAATTAAATGATGATATCAAATTTCTGACTTCACCATACCATTTATATGACCATGTTAACATGGGCTAGTGTCGGCTCATATACCCATTTACCTAACACCCTGTAGACGTCCCAAATATAGCTTGCTCTACCATCACTTTGGAACATTATAATTATGACCTGGTGCTGAGAAGAAGTGGTTCTCAGAAGAAACTAAGTCAGCTAAAGAGTGCAAATTTAATATTGCCTACTGTCTATAATAATCGGTCATCAACTGTGGTTATTAAATATTAGGTATATTTTGTTATATTTTAATAATTAATTTAAATTCAAAATCAGGGGCAAACAATTTAAGCTCAATCTATCGCGTGGTCTCTATTTTAAGATCAGCCTTCTAATCGTATTTAGTAAATGCATGTTGTTGTCTTTGAATTTATTCGTAAATTATTGTTTTTCAATATCGTAACTATTAGTAAATGTTTACAGCTTCTTATTATGCAGGTACTTATCATAAATTATGGTTGAAAACAACATGTTTTTAACACATCACGTACTTTACTGACTTTGACTTTGAGCATGACTCAAAAGTCGTAATACTCATAAGCTTAGTCAGCAATGCATATTTGAAACGAACACTGCCCCTCACGAGTCACGATCTGTTTTGTTCAAAAATAGATTATAATTTTTCGTAGCCAAAATAGTCAAAATGTACAAAAAGAACCCTATAAATGTGGTAACATGAACAAAAAACGTACACTGAATACTGAAAACTGAAAATAGTTTTTTGTTACTTTAATTATTTGAGACTTTAAACCTTAGTAGCCATTATTTCATGACAATCATTTCCTCACACAAAGCTAGTAAGTTATGGAGAGTCAATCTGATAACTTGAGTAATAGTCAATTCAAAAGTTTATGTCACACGCATTTTTTGTGGCTCTAAACAAATTACGTTGGACAGCAAGATGCACAGTGTAATTGTGTTTTTTATCAAGATAGAGGCTTACATCGTGTAAGTACTTTCACAATTACTTGTCGGATGAGTTGCTAACTTGGAACCTAATTATGCAAGTTTTTTGCATTATAAAAAAATACTGTATACTTTTGTAACGCTGGGTAGGCCTACGTAGAAACTATCCAACGTTTGAAGTTATCATTTCAAATTATTTATTAAACCCTTGTATTCCTGTAAAGTGTAATCTCTGTAAATATTATTACGGGAGCATGAAAATCCACGATGTATTTTAAAAGTAAAGTTAGCTTTTGATATGAGCTTAAAAGCTAGTGCTTCTTAAGTTCAAAGTTGGTTTTATACTGTGTCTCATCTGGGAATCGAACTCTAGACTTAATTTTGTCTTTAGTCGATAGAGTCTATGTAAACACTGAGTGAGACGTTTACCTTCCAGCTATCAACTATCAACATCGCACGCTTTCAAATATCAACCTAGGTTTCAGCATTTCATAATATTTCAGTAGGTGTTGATTGAACTAAAACATCGTTTTGAGATATGTTATGAAAACTATGAATAACCAAGTCTCAGGTATAATGTTTGTGAAATCACGCTAAATGTTGGAGACTGTGTGTTTTGTAAATTTTGCTTTTGTTGTAATATTTGGATGATAACACCCAATATGAATAATATTCGAACTTAAGTTACATACTTGTACAACTTCATCATACGAGTCTAGTTCTTATGTGATAAGTTTTACAAACGTGTAACTTAACTTACAATGTTATTCATATTGGATCCCAGCATTATGTTTCTTTTATAAATCTAGTAAGTTGATCTGTCGTAAGAAGCAATTAAGTAAGGAAGATATTATATTTGAACATCAGGCCTCTTCAACCCGCCTGGCAAGGATGGGGAGTGTAGGATAAATCCTTAATTTCCTTCTGGTAAATTGGAACTAAATGCCCTCATGGTGAAGTAGATCTGATTCTACATTATTGCAGTAGCGAGATATGGTTGACATGTCTTTTATCGCCAGTGCTGCGCAAGATGTCTGACTCCCAATCTGATATCTAAATCAGAATCTTTCATGATCTAAATACAGGTTCATTAATCCTTGCAAAATTGAAGATACCGATAATCAGTGCACTGTCACTTGCATTTGCGGCCAAAAATGCAAGGTCGGTGTTGCAAGACATTTCACTAGATCGCTGTCGACGGCCGATTATATCGGTCGATGGTCGCGATACTGTCGGGCGACTGACGACTGACGACTGGTTCGTCGGGGGATATCCTTTGCTGGCTTGGCTGTTAGACTGGGGACACACTGCCGGCGCTAAGTTAGATAAAGTTACCAAGAATTAGTACCTGCAGTGCAATCCCTGTACCTATTAATGTTAAAGTTACATACCTACTTGCTCTGCTTTTGTTCAGCGCTGGCCTATATTATTTTACCAAA